GTTGTGGGAATTTGAGTGGAGAGTTGGTTATTATTCGTAGTTTATTTCTTTTCATAAGTTTGAATTTATTTAAACTCAACTTTACTTTCATACTATTTTAACTAAGTTGGGTTTTGAATAAGGGTCTTAATGGTTCCAAGTTGTAAGATTTAATTTGGTTTTGGTTTTGAAACTTATTTATAACCGAGTTAGTTTTTTCGCTGCTATTTTTTGATAAAGCTTTAACGTTTGAACACGTGGCGGTAGCACGCTAGTAATTCTCTTGGATTTTCTTCAGGGTATTTACAGGTTTAAAGAGAGGATTATTGGGGTGTTACAGGACTATTTCTATAGTAGATCTCCCGGGCATAAAACCAAATTGGTTATCCTAAATGCTTGTGCATGCCCTCAACCTATGTTCAATCACTCTTTCTCACAACTTCATAGTGTGGCTCATACGCTTGATCCCTCGATAGTTAGAACAATATTGAGCATCTCCTTTGTTTTTATGGACTAGGACCAAGGTGCTCTTCCTCCGATCTTGCGAGATCCTTGTGGCCCTCTATATCTTGTTGAAAAGATCTGTTAACCAATCAATACCAATCTTACCCAAACACCTCTACACCTCTATCGGTACACCATTAGGGCCAACCGCCTTCTTAGGATTCATCTTCTTCAGTGCAATCTCCACCTTTACTAACCCAATCCTCCGCACATACTCCATGTTGATTTCTTCACCCCTCACGGAGGTATCTCCTATCACAACTCCATTACTTCCATTAATCGAAGTACCCATTCCACCTATCCTTGATGTCCTCCTCTTATACTAGGACCATTTGGTTCTTATCTTTGACACACTCCATCATACCAATATCCTTCCTTGTCTCCTGTCTTCTCTTTGCCATTTTATAAATGATCTTTTATCCCTTCTTGGAGTCAAGCTTTTCATAAACCTCTTGATAAGCCTTTTCTTTTGCTTGGCAAACAACTGTCTTTGCCTTACTCTTAGCCTCCTTATACGCTGCAAAGATTTTGTCACTCCTACATTTTCCCAATGATAGCTTAGCATGCCCTTTTTTGCTTAATTACTGATTGATTTCACCTCCCACTATTATTTTTACACCATGTCTACTTATCTTGATTATGTTACCTATTTACAGTATTATGCACTTCACTACTTGTATGTATCTTGTTGGTTCTATTCTGTGTAGATCTATTGGCTTTGTATCGTTTGTTATATGCGTGGTGCCCCCTATTGCTAGTCTTGATAATTGTTTTTTTTTTCTCTATTCATTATTTCACTTGTCCGAACATGTTGTCTGAATATGTTACCTTTGTATCCAATATGCCCTTTATTCCCTTTTGGAATTTTGATCTCTGTATATAACTCATTAGTTTATGAGTATTGTGGGACTCTAATGATATCATCCCATTGTGTACTACTTGTTATAGATATCAATTACTTGTAAGTTGTTACTTAAACCTTTCAAGTTTTATTTATGCTCAGTTCTGTCTTACATGCTATGTTTTGTTATGCATCTCCTCCATTTTGCTGCTCTTTTCTGTGCCCCTACTCTAGATTAGACCTTTCTCCTATGAGTTTTATGACTTGTTATCTAGATTTATATCCATTTCATCTAATTATGTCTTTTATATGTTTCTTAGCAACTAATTCAGATTATTACCTTGTTTTTTTTTTTGTCGTTTGCATTTCCTTTACGTTAATTATTCAATTTTTTGATTCCCCTCTTTAGCTATGAACCTTGATTTCCATAAAATATATTAAGTATTGTAGCACCTTATTTCTTTTATTTATATGGCTTCTAGATTTTTCCCACCCTCTTACTTTGCTCATGTTTTTTTGGTGGCTTTTTATTGACTTAATTTCACTCCATTATATTGATGTTGCTCTTGGTTCATTTCTTGAATTTCCTATTTGAGTTTTTTCAGTTCCACGACCTTTTTCCTTGTATTGTTATTTTGTTATTCATAACTTTGCCATGGTTATTTATGCATACTCTATTTCTTTGGTTTTTATTTTCAGATTCGATTTGGTTACAAATCAGACTTGGACTTTTGTTTGTTTATGTTTCCCTTTGGATCTATTTTTATGTATTTATTCATCTTTCTGATGGTTTATTAATTTTTACTAGCCTTCTGACCCGTACAATGCACGGGTTGTTCATAAAAAATTGCATTGAAAGATGAATTATGAAAATCAATAAGCCACTATGGTTATAATGTGTGATAAAAAATATGATTAAAGAAATTTAATTTTTGGAATTGTAATTGATAATGGGGATTAATTAAAGGAGGGGTTAAAATTAAAGTGAGAAACGGGTGGAGGGTTAAAATTAAAGAGAAAAAAGCAAAAGGTTGAATGGAAGAGGGGAGATGAAGATAAAATGTATATGGAAGATGAAGCATATATATAAGTTTAATGAAAGAATTAAAGAAATATACTAATATAGTGTAATAAAAAATTAATTAATGATGTAAGAAGACATGTGGCATTTGGATTAGAGAAAAAGATATTGAAGTGTAATAGGATGGATACTTGTGTTTTCCTTGGTTATAGTTTTTAAATACTAAGGGTCTGTTCTCTTACGTTGAGATTCAGTTCAGCTCAGTTCAGTTCAGTTCAGCTCAGTTCAGTTCAACTCCTAATTTCCTTCTCTTATAAAATATTCATTTCAGTTCAGTTCAGTTCAGTTCAGTTCAATTCAGTTCAGTTTAACTCAATTCAGTTCAGTTCAGCTGAGTTCAGTCAATGAGAATTGACCCTAAGTATAGATATAGATATATATAGATAGATAGATATCGATTATGGGAATTTGGTTCCTAAGTGGAACTTATGATACTATTCCTTTATGGAATTTTGATACTAGTTCTTTGTGGATTTTTGATACCCTACTTTGTTTCCTATATTATTTATATTCTCCTTTTGGTCTATTTTTCAGCAAGTTTGTACCTTGGTTTATTCTAAGTGCAACATGTTATTTTCTAGACATTTCGACCCTTTTGTTTTACTATGCCTTTTGATTATTACTTGTATTTGTTATACAGATATGCGTACATTGTATTTTTTTTTAATCCACCATCATCTGTAATGTTTTTAAACTAAATTTAAAATTAGTCGAGTTTCTAAACTCATTGGCTCATTGCACAATAGTATGTTAGAAAATATGGTTGATCTGATATGTTGCACCTACTGCCTACTACTATAAATTGATAAGTTTACATATATTGTCACATTTGTTCTGTGATATATCACCCACTTGGCGTAAAAATACATACTTTAATGTTCATTGATGCTATTGATTATGGTGCATTGGCACCATACAACGTCTATATGGAGATGTATAAACTTTGTTGGAATTGAACCCATTGCCAGATAATTGCATATGTCATCGATGTCGTAGGTTCTCCGATAAATCAAGCAAGTAGAGCTGGGAAAGATGGTGTTGATGCTATTAGCTAGACAATAGCTCATTTGTGGATGTAAAAACATTTTCGTAATTTAATGTCAAATGTATTAGCATTGAGATCCGAGATATTCAGTAGAGGTTCTCTGTGTGCATTGCTCATAGGAAGAGCTAGGAAAATTGTTGCAATTGAATTGACATTTGTGTAGAAGCTAAGTCTGGTAAAACATTGTTGGAATCAACATTAGTATAGTTAACAAACTCATAGGCATAAGAAGCGACAAGCCATAGTGTTATACAAGGCTGTGTAACAAATGTTGTTATTTTTACTTTTAATTTGTCATTTCTTTTATTTTTCTCTTGATGACGTGTATTTCTACCTTATTCTCTTTCTTTAACACTCACAAATAACATTTTTCTTAGGAGTCCGTGTGAACTCATTAGTTAAAAATAGAGGTAGTAAATAAAGTACTCAATCTACATGATAGTAGACTAGTAGTATTTTGTGATAAAAACTCATTGAGTATTTTTATTGACATGAATACATGATTTTCAAGTGGGAAGATAAATAAGTATTTCAAAAAAAAAAAAAAAGAAGTCATGGTGACTATTAGTTGACTACTCTATAATATTCAAGATAGAGGAAAAAAATAAGGCAAGTTAGGATGTAAACTCCATATTAAAAGATAATTTTTGTTAAATACAAATGGATCGCGTTAATTGAAACACCCTAAAAGAAAAAGTAAAGCGTGTAACATATATTCTGTACTTTGTATTTCATATATTTATTTAATGAAATTCAAAGTAAAAATAACAATTTTTTTTCACCCAAAGTAAAAATAGCATAAGTGCGGACTAAAGTTTGACAATAAAAAGCTTAATTATAATGAGGATTGGTGGGGTCATATGATAATATACTTAGTAAAATAAGTAATGATATGGATAAGAAAATATCTTAGTATTTGGTTATTCCTAAATTATCTACTTAATGATTGATTGATTAAGTTAAACAAATATTAAAAATGGATCATCCACCAAATTATCCAAACCGCCGCGATACTTCCTCATTTCTAGAGAGAGAAAGTTAGAGAATCATTTGAGCAAGCAGTCTACTCACAGAGAAAGAGAGAGTCAAAAGAAAGAGAGAAAGAAAGGAGAATTTTGATGACTTTGAAGTTCAATTGTTCTTGCAGTTGAATTTTATATGGTGATTTTGGGTCCTAAATTCCTGAATTTGACCAATTGCAGATTAAGAAGAATGAATGACTCAAGGTTAGTTTGATTCTTTAAGGTAATACCCAGATTATAATTTTTTATACCCTAATAAAAAAATAAATCGTAATTTTGTTCTGGGAATTGATTTTGCTTGAAGCAATTGTTTGATTTAATGCCTCATTATCCATTTTTTCTGCAATTGAATGCATAGATTAATAGAAATGCTTTTGTTTAATTTCTGTTTTAATGGGTATGTAATTTCAATTCGAATTATAGGTTAGAGATGATGAGTAGCAATTACTGTTGCTTAAATCTTAATAAATCCCCGATTAGTCGGAGTCGAGTAGGCTCTAGATTACTGGGTACGCGCCGTAGTTGTATATTGTGGGTCACTCTCATCATGTTGATGTTGAAATATTAAATTAAATGGGGGAAGGATGAAAGAAGCCAGTGATTGCCCCTCCTCTTTAGGCAACTTAGAGGCCCTTCAATTATTATAAATTAAAGAAATAGGTGCAAAGAACCCCAGAAAAAAAAGTTCTAATTATGTAAATTAATTGTCTTTTTCTTCACACAAGGTGAGTGAAATTGAGGTTGGAGGTGTAAATGAGCAAATGCAAGTAGGGTATTGCTGGGACCAGCTTAGCTGACCCCATCTCATCTTCTGCAATTTGGATAAATCCATCTACATCATTCATCATTTCCATTATTTGCCTACTTCCTTGTAATTTCCTAATTTTGAAATTTTTTTTTTTGATTTTTTCTTTATTGTTTATACTTACTAAATCGGCATATAATTTATATGGGAGTGAATTTTTATTTTATTATTAATGTTGTTCATTTTTTTGAGGTGGGGGGTTTTTGCTTTCTTGATGCTTTCCTAAATTGGTTATATTGTTAGGGCTGGCAAAATATCTAACAATTTATTGCTATCTTTGTATGAACTTTTCCTGCCAACTGTTGTAATAATCTTTGTGTTTATTTTCTATTTTTGATGTTGGAAGTTTTGATTCAATTTTATTTGGGTTTTAATGGAATTTCATACTGTCAGATGCTTGGTTTAATTCTTTAGAGTTTTCATTAGCATTATATGTGTGCACAAGGGGAATTTAAAAGGGAAGATGTAAGAATAAGAAAGGTGTCGGTTGGGTTGTCATGTTATGATACCTATTTCGTCGTTTCGATATTTCGAAACAGTAATTGCTATAATTTAGAAAGCTGAACTAGAAAAGGAGATTAAAGTTGGGGATTATGTGTCTTTTAACTTAAAGGTAGAGAAAAGATAAAAGCTTGCCTCACTTTTATTGTTTGAATTTTGTTCACCTTCAATCCTGAACTAAAGTTACCAAACATAAAAAATTTACTGAAAGAAAGGGATAGAAACCATCAAAATCACAGTAGGAGTGAAAGACTAGTAAGTTTGTTGTGGGCCTGTGGCTGTAAGTTCTGTCTTTGTCAAGTAGGAATTGGTGGTTGTATACAGAAATGGTAATTTGAGTGATATTTTTATTTTTATGAATCTATCAACCACCAATTAGGCTATTAGCTTCTCTGTTTTGTATGATTTGTTTCTCTACAGGCAGCAATCCATTTCCCTAATTGTGTGTAGCCTAAAACTCTTTTCTTTTTCTTTTTTTTTTTTTTTTTCAATTCAAGCTCTTTTTTATTTGGCCGAGCTTGATGCCATCTATTTCTTAATATCCACCTGTCAAATCTTGCATATATGATTTCATGAGTGTTACTCTTAAGATATTTTTTTGAGGCATAACTGAATATTGGTTTTGCTTTCAATAAATAGGTCCGCATTTCACATGACTCCAATTGTTGAGTTATAGTTCAGTAACCTTTCATTCCACCCCCTCTTTGTTCGGGATTTCATGAATCTGATTGGAGGTAGCCGCTAGTCACCGCATCACCGGTCAGCGCTGATTTTTTTTTTTTTGAGTCTGCACCTTTCTTGTTTATGAATCTTGTCTGAAACACCTGTATCTCACTGCCCTATATCCTAGTTAGTTATTAACACAGCCGAAGTAAGTTATATTATCTTTTATTTCCTAGTACTGGATCCTGTGCTTTTGAAGCCCACATTGGTCTGGCTGTTGCTTCAATTGCCTAAACCTCAACTGTACTGGCTGAATGTTTGAGAGTAGATTCAAACAAGATTAGATGACTGTAGACGAAAAGGGCGATAGCAGTTTTTGGAGTAGAGAGCAGGATAAGGCATTTGAGAATGCAATTGCCACTCATTCTGAGGATTTGGAAGATAATTGGGAAAAGATAGCCGCAGATGTGCCTGGGAAGACCTTAGAAGAGGTCAAGAATCACTATGAGCTTCTATTTGAGGATGTAAAGGAGATCGAGGCTGGTCGTGTTCCGTTGCCTTCGTATAGTTCTTCTTCAGAGGGATCTTCAGGTCTTGCTGCTGAAGAAGGAAATGGTGGGAAAAAGGGTCAGTTTGCTAATGCAGGTAGTGAACCCAATCAAGGCAGCAAGGCATCAAAGGCGGATCAGGAACGCCGGAAGGGGATTGCTTGGACAGAGGATGAACACAGGCAAGTTTGCTATCTGATTTTGGTTTTGTATTTAGGTTTCTGTGTTCCTCTACCTGCCTGGCATAAGCAGCTGCTTGCCTGCTGCTATTTTTTTTTTCCCTGATGATTGGTTTACTTCGGCAAATTGTTGTCACCTTTTCATTAGATGTTTTCATATTTAATTTTACTCTTGTGATTAGTGATGAGGCAAAAGAGAAAACACTGTAACATTCATTTCTCTTCCCCCTTCTCCTCCTTGAGAAAATGCCAAGTAGAGAGATAAGAAATGAAATTGGTGCTGCTTCTTGCTTATATTAGAGTCTTTTGTTTTGCAAAAATAAGACACGGCAGGTTTTTTTTCCATAATATATAAAACTGGCAGCTTCTCACCCATCTTTTCCTTGTCCAACACTCCAACTGAAAGATGCTTATTCATTTAGTCTGTATATAGGTTGGCAGATCTCTATTTACTTATAAGTTAGGCTTCATTCACAATGAAAAAGTTAATATAGCATAAGTCTATATATTGGTGCAGAATGTTATTTTATGTACGATTTCCATTTCTTTCATCAACTGGGAGCTGTATGATGCCCTGATGAGTGGGCAATGCACAATTTTGCACCAATTTGAGGAAGCTGTGGAGTAAAGATAGTCATAGTAGGTTTGCCTAGCTGTCCCCTTTTTCTTGGGATTTTTTTTTCTTCTTTTTTTGATGGAGGGGGGGGGGGGGGTTGATGGAACTATGGAAGCATGTCAAGGGAAAAGTCTAAGTTTGTATCATAAAGTAGTTGCTCTTCAAATGAGAATTCAAATCTATAGTAAGTGGCTCATGACTTTAGCTTGTTGCTGTCACCTGCTATCAATAAATAATTGAATTATTGTTTTAGACATATATCAATAATGCTTTTAAAACTGTGTCATACTGTGTTAGCCAATTAGGTTGTTTATTCTACGAATTTTCCAAACTTCATGTAGTGCAATATGAAGTCGTACTAATTTACTTTTTGTCTGCTCAAGAATTGGTTGGTGAGAGGAGGTAAAAGAAAAACAACTATTGAGGGGTAGATAATAGGAAGTATTAAAGAAGATGGAAAGGGTTAAGTTAGTGGACATAGTTCAATATTGGATTATATTGCAGTGAATAGCAGTGCATATTAATAAAAAAAATTGGAACTTTGTGATTTAGTTATGGTTCAGTTGGGTTTGCAATTTGCTTTTACTTAATGATGAAAGTGTTAAGTAACAGGAAGGAATAAGTTTATGTTGAGTAATGCATTAAACACATAGATAGAATTGACGATTAAGTTAATTATAATCTATGTATATATTAAAATAGAAAGGAAATATATGCTGATTGTGATTAGGGAGTATCTAAAGGCTGTTGGTGCTAAAGAACAATGGCCAGTGACCGATGATGGAGAGGATCTGTGGCAGTTTTGAGATTAGAAAAAGGAAGGAGGTCTAAATACGCTCGAGTGAGATAGCTAGATGCATTTTTTACCTTGCCCCTGTAAATGGACTGAGATTACTCATGCTTATAACAATAAAACAGAGAGAAAAGATTGGTTCTTTGATTAAACTAGATAATTTGATTTTTGATAAATTGATTTATTAAGAAGAAATAATAAAGATGGAAGCTTGAAAGATAGGCTAATAGCTTGAGGCTATCACTCTCTAACCGTGACTTGAGGCCATAACTCTCCAGGTTTCCCAATACAAATTTTTGCATATCTTCCTTCTACTACTCTCTACCTATTTATATCACTTAGCTAAGCAAGTACACTCTCAAAACAGCTTGAGGCTATCACTCTTTAACCATGGCTTGAGGCCATAACTCTCTAGGTTTCACAATAAAATTTTGACTATCTTCCTTCTACTACTCTCTACCTATTTATACTACTTAGCTAAGTTTATAAATTCTTGTCTTTATCCCTAAAAGCCAACTTGGCAGCAAATAAGCCAACACAACAACTACAGCAGCTTTAAGGTAGTGCTTCCTCTTGTGGTGGTGTGTTAGCCTACCCCTTTTTTCTACCTCTTGCTGCAACTGTGAAAGATAGGTAGTGTATTGGCCTGATTCTTACAGCCCCCAACAGCTAAACCACCTGCATAATATGAAGAGATTTTGTTATTATGCTTGAGCATCCAGAAAAAGGATATTTAGCAATGATGTTACTGGTGATTCCTCTAATAATTACAATGAAGAGGAAAGATGTCAAGGAACAAGGTGTTTGTCAAAATAGGGTGATAAAAACTAAATAAGGGTAAGAAACTAGAGTTAACATAAATCTATGCTGTCTATCATATGAAGCATTTATTTTTAGTAGGTAGGGATTTAGTAATTATGAAGTCCTAATTTCATGTGGATAACTGTTATTCATTTCTGATTTCTGTTGGGACCAGAATTTTAACTCGTGAAATATGAATATGGGCCATATGGCTCAGTCATCAAGTGTAAGACAGTAATATAGTTTGGTTGTACATTGTGTCAGCTGTCTCTACTCCCTTCTACATTTGGCTGATCTTGTGAGTTAGTGATGCCTTTTTTTATGACAAGAGCCAAGCCTTTTAGTACATGGCTTATTTTCTTCAACATATACATCAGTTGTGAGAAGACTTGAGAGTTGAGATTGTCTTGTAAATGCTCCTTGATGTCTCCTGCTCTTCAGTTGCTTGATTTGCTTGAGAAGATGGTAGGGAGCAGAAGCTTACTATTCAAAAAGCTTTCTTCTGAAGCAGTGTTTCAATTGTACAAGAAATTTCTTTTAAGATCATGCTTTGTACTAAGTGGATGGTCACACCAACTTTATGGATCTTGGGGACAACTGTTTAGTTCGTGCTTACATATTATAAGACAAACCTGTTTCCACGTGGGTTTTGTTTGTGACCATATGACAAACTCTGATGTTCTAGCGTTCTTATGTGCTGTCAAATAGCAGGTAGGTCAACCAAAGATCCTCTTTGTAGTTGTATAGAGAAGGCTGTGAATGTCTTCCCCTTCTCTAACTCCATCTGGAGCTAATTAAGGCGCTGGGAAAATGAAGAGGCAGAATCGCACCATATTTTATATGCAGTAATTTATAGCAAAATTTTATATGTGGTACAGGCAGCATTTAAATTGCTTGCACAACAGAGTTAGTCATTATGTTCCCTCTAGTTTTAATAACTAAGATTCCTATCGTGAGAGCGTATTTGATCATGGTGCATTGCTGTTTACGTCTTTTCCAGCTAGTGTTATTAGAGATTGGGGTGTCACCATATGGCTACAAAGAGGGTGTACTTTAATTCTAATCAAGTTGTTTTGCTTCCTTATTTGAGCATTGTTAGCTGTGGTGTGACTATGAATGTTACTGTGTTGTGCCTTCGTGCCTGTGGGCTGACCAGGAATGGCCTGTGGTGTGGCATGGTGGCCTCAGGCCGTGCTGTTTGTGCCATCAAGTACAAAGGGTTGGTCCATAACACAGCATGACCCCACATACCTTTTGTGCTGTGCCTATACTTAATTTTTGTGCTTTATCATACTTTGCTGTTGTGGCATGATTGGAGTTCACTTCCCAGAATTGAGGCCTAGGCATGATCCAGAACACAAAGTGTCATGCTGGGCTAGACCATTCCTTTCTCGTGGTGTGTTCAGACTGCGGCAGCCCAGTGAGAACTTTAATTTTGTCATGTAAATGACATGTCCAGTTCAGACCATTTGTTTCAGAATGATTGCAAGTTCTAGTGTCATGTCTCTTTTGAAAGTCTCTCTATTGTGTGTGATTGATTGCGAGTTCTAGTATTATGTCTTTTTTAAATGTAATCTTAGAGCCACCAATACTTTGTTTCTTGTCTTTGCTGTCATATCCTGGAAAGGCTGGGACATTGTTGAAAAGGAGACTCCATGCATATGGGGAGTTCATTGCGTTAGCCATACTTATAGGCTTGCTCATCGTATATGGTAAATACGACTATGTTGTTATGTTTACATAATAGATAAAGGTGTGTAGAACTGTAGATTGGCCTCAAGTATTTCAATTGGAACCTCTATTTACTTAAATCACCGTTTTTGAGAATTCTTTGGTGAAAATTGACATGATTGTGGTAAAAGGTAAATAAGAACTGTGATTATTGATCAAAGCATCAATCGCATGTATTAGGATTCAATGTCACGAGATGGCTTTATAAAGAGTCAAAATTATTTCTGGCTTCAAGTATGTTGTTGCCCTACTGTAGAAGTGGTGGTTGATTTACAACCATCTTGTCATTGATACGACAGGAGTTGCCGTGAGATTCAAGAAAGACCTGTCTGAGTTCCTGCTTCAGATTACCTTCATAAAATGAGTTTGATTGGAATTCCTTTGATGGTTACAGTTGATTTTCTAACTTAAAAGTTTTAGTATTTTCATTTCATAGCTGTTTCGTTGCCTGTCTTAAGCAGCTGTTAACACCTGTAAGTAAAATACTCATGGTGCATGGTTGAAGTATAGGGATCAAGTTCGATGATTTAATTTTGTACACAAGAACCCCTCTACTTTTTTGTTCATTTAGATCACATTGCACAGTGTATGTCAGTTTGCTGTTTGTTGTTCATTTTACTTTTATTCTAGAAACTGCTGTAACTTTGTAAATTAATAATAAAAATAAAAAATTGCATACTTTTTAGCGCTGTGCAATTGAGCAATGAAAGTGGAAACTCAAAAACAGTGTTGTTTATGCCTTCAAAGTGTTCAAGGGACTTACCCATGTGGTTGTATATTGTAACACTCCAATGATTCCGTTCCATTGTTAGGACTTAGGTGGGGATTGAAGAGTCCTAGGATATCGTATAATTACAGGCAACTTCAGTATATTATGAAGTTGCTTCTATTTTGTTTGCGTTAGTTACATTGTTGCCTTTGTTGGGTGTTTGGCTATGTTTCTGTTATGAACCTTTTTGTGTTTCTGGTGGTTACTACTCTATATGAGGCAGTGTACTATCTATTTAGGAATTTTAAAAAATAAAAAATATTAACTGATCTGGCCATCTGGGGAGATTTAAGTGGGGTAACACAGTGGTATTTAACTTATTTAGCTGCTAAAAAACTAAGTTGAAGGAAGAACTTTTACATTATATGTATTATCTATATATCCAATTTATAATTTATTTTATATATACGTTTTGTGACAAAATCCAATTTATAATTTGATATAAAGAAGAATAGTGCTTGAGCACGAAGCATGTTTATGCTATATTTTTCTGTTCAGCTATCATTATACTTTGTATGCGGGTCTCTTATTTTACATTGCTTACCTGTTGCATGTTTTATACTTGGTGTGGTTTTCATTTTGGTGTGTATCTTTTGTGAACAGGCTATTTCTTCTTGGCCTGGAAAAATATGGAAAAGGTGATTGGCGGAGTATATCTCGGAACTTTGTGGTAACAAGAACACCAACACAAGTGGCAAGCCATGCTCAAAAGTATTTCATTAGGTTGAACTCTATGAATAAAGATAGGAGAAGATCGAGCATTCATGATATCACCAATGTGAACTCTGGGGATGTTTCAGCATCCCAGGGGCCAATTACTGGTCAGGTAAATGCACCTGCATCTGGGACTGCGCCTGGAAAAACTGAAAAACTGGTTGCTCAGCCCCCTGCTGCTCCTTCAGGAGTGGGTATGTATGGCACTCCAACTATTGGACAACCAATTAGTGGGCCATTGGTTTCTGCTGTTGGGACTCCGGTAAATCTTCCACCTCCTCACATGGCTTATGGTGTGCGGGTACCAGTGCCTGGGTCAGTAGTCCCTGGAGCCCCTATGGGCATGGCTCCTTTGACGTATCCGATGCCGCACACCTCTGCTCATAGGTAAGATAATTGATGATCAACTATATTAGATGTACAAATGGAAAGGAAAGAAAAGTTTGCTTTCCCCCATGTTTGGGTGGGTAATGGGTTTTTATTTTCTGAAATGAGTTAGAATATGGTTGCCTTGCCTGGGAATACTAGTTGTACTGAGGAACCTTGGTCACTCAAAAATATCATTCTTATACAAACCTAAAATAATTCATAGGGAGGTGAAACTATGCAGTCTTCTTTAGTTTAATTTTTATAGGCAGCTGTGGTAGGATATTGCTGCTCTTAGGGGGAACGACATTATCGTTCCCTAGTTTATTACAAAGATTGTCGTGCTATAATTTAGCAGCTAATTAGTGCAAGTAGTGTAGGAGCTTCTCTTAGCCAATGTTCATCTGTGGATTGTTTTTTTTATAAATCCTTTGAGCTGTTTTCATTTAAGACCTCTTTTATTTGTAATTGGACTTTTTGCAAGCAGTTCTTGTGCTGTGTTTTTACATCACCCGATAACTGCAGAAGAAATGGCTACATGTTGCTATGATAAATTTGTTACTCGTATTTTTTAGATATGCTATTATTTGCGTTATCTGGTTGTTATTGATGTTTTTTTTAGAGTACCATCAAGAACAAATGACATTGACGGAATATGATCTCAAATTTTGAATATCACTCTTCTTGTTTATTGTGTATGATGATCCAGCACTGACGTGCCGCACCTTTGTTTGTCATATTGCACTGACATGCGCCTTTATTGTGTATATAATTGCACAATGTAGTCAGTTAATATGGCTTGTTATTGTCTTGCTGATCTGGACATGCGCCTTATCTAGAAATTCGCATGATATTTTACATCAGGCAGTATGTAATCTTGCACTATATGAGGAAGGAAGAATAACGGAATTATGATTGATTGTTTTTTTTTTTTTTTTTTTTTTTTTTTTTTTTTTTTTTTTTTTTTTTTGACGGAATTATGATGTTAGAAAGGCATGCGACAAAATTAAATGGAAGTTGGGTATTCGTCAAAATTGTAGCAGAGAAGACCATCCATATATCTTGGCCAATAATAATTCTTGGATTAATAACTTCCATTTTCCACAATTTATTTCAATTTCAATCTCAATCTAATCTGGTTTAGTTTGATCAATTGTTTTCTATCTATAATCAGATTATGAATAGACGACGTCCAAGTATTGACATGGCCGTGTCTAACTCTATGATTCTATCGTTTATAAATAATCACTTCAGTCTAACATTATGTAGCTACAATCTGCTGATCAAGACAGAAGATTCTTTTGAGTAGTGAATTTAGTTAGTCATTATGTTGCATACTCGGTAAAAAGCTATAAATATTTTTCTTCGGATATTTTGAGGTGGACAAGCATACCACTTTCTCATACCATTTGTATACCTTAACTTAGAACTTCTCATATCTCAACACGCATTTTATACTGGGTCATTCTGCTTGTAAGGAGCTTGCTTGTTTCGGTTTTGTCGGTCACCTAGTTTAACCAACACATATAGTATAAATATGTCAATAAACGATTCCATGCCTGAATTTGGATACTCTACTCTTAGGCATAAAATTTCCAAATGCTATGTCAATAATGAAGGGAAATTAGCTTGTTATTGTAGCCTTGTAGGATACAAAGACAGTTTGCATCTGTGTTGATACTCTGAAGTCTGTTGAGCTGAAGTTAATTTTACTTCAGTAATCAGTGCTAATTGTTACAGATGGAAATGTTTCGCTCAAGCTTGTTAATTCTTAGCTACTGATTGAAATGTAGTGCTTAATTGGAATGAGAAACATAATTAAGGAGTAATGTACAAAAGCAAATTGCGTGCCATCAAAAACTCCAGGGGAAAAACTTCTTTCCATCTCAGAGAAGCTGATTAGTTAACAGTTACAGAGCTAGCCATTCACTACTGTCTACACCTAGCTACATCAGAATCCTAGTTAATTCGGAATATAACTAGTCTGTAGTATTTCTATAAATGTAGCTTTGTGAGACTGCTTGTTGTAAGCATTTTAATGTTTTGTTGTAGTTAACGAATCCCATGAACCAGAACTCAAATTCATCCGCTGTCACTACTTGTAGATACTTTTGCGAAGGCTTTTTCATGTCTTCACTTGGATCCCATTTTCCGATCTTCATTAATGGTATTACTATCTGCATATACATAGATATTTCCACATTAATTAAGTTATTCAATTCAACATACATCAGTATCAGTACTCAAAAAGTTAAGTGTTGTTAGTTGCATATTGCAGTACCTTGTAGTGGAACCTAAGAGGTTCTCCTGTGGGAGAGGAAACTTTCGCGATTGGTCTGTCACTGCAGAAGGCGAGTTTCTCTGTGGAGATGAATAGGCGACCTGCTATGGGACCTGCTGTGGTGTACAAACTGCAACGAGAAGCCCTCAACAACCGCTCCCCTTCTCGAAGGCTAAAGATTCTTCTAAACAATTTATCAACCCCTCCTACTAAGCTCAGTTTTCCTTTCACTGCATAGTTGGAATTAAATTGTCAGCAAAAATTAATTCTGATCCATATATTATAAAACAGCAACGAAAAACTAAAAAAATCAAATTAATTATTTTACATAAATGCAAGGGTGATTTGATGTACATAAAGGTAACATGTATACACGTACCAAGCTTATTCATTGTGGTAAAAACTGATTCCACTTTACGCTGTTTTGTAGTGATCAATGATTTATCTACTTGGCCAGTAGAAGGTCCAGGCAATAGTTTGACGGTAGATGTTTTTCTTGATTGATCATAGCTTATTTTTGACAACCCATTTCGAAGGAGATGATCTCCTAGCATACTCTTCATATGCCTTGACTTAAACGCCTCAGAAGCATTCATTTTACCTTAATTAGTACGACTAATCGATCTCGATATATTAATTTAAGTAATTTTTTAAGACTATAGAGAAGATTGTTTAAGGTGATGGAGAGCAAATAGTGTGTATTTTGGTAGTTGATGGTGGGAAGGGAGTTTGTGAAGGTAAGATTGAATCTATTTATAGAGGTCCATTGGAATATTTTTTGAATAAAATTTAGTGGGAATAAGTCATTAATGACTCAGCAAAAGTAAATATGACTACAAATGATTCCTTGCTAAGTAAGTTGCTGATCCAATTCAACTCTCATGCATTTTTATTTGATTTGCTTTTCATAAAGTGATGACGAATTAATATTTAATCACTTCTATAATTAGAGTAAAATAAAGCCATCTTTAATTTATGAACTCAACTTCTAACACTATTGAAGCCAAGGAAGTTTATTTAATCTAATCTTATGGCTTTAAGTATTGAAGTCTAAAGAATATTCTCCTCCAATTAACTCATCCTTATCATGACACCCTCATTCAAAATTATCTATCATACTGTCATATATAACTTCTTGTAACTCACCCCTTATTTCTTAATCGATTAGTAATGATGATAGAAAACAATAATCCGTATATATGACTATTATGTTGAATAATGGAGAGACATACAAGTTTAGTTTATTTAATTACATACATGTAATCATACTTAACCACAAAGTTACATTATATCTCGAAAAGTTTTAGTGTTTTACCCATGTTTATATTTCGCGGTGAGGTTATACTAGACACATCTCATGGCTGAACTATGTAGGAATGACTATAAAAAAATAAGTAAAGATGGATGATAAAGTTAAAAAAAAAGTTAGAAAAAGCTATGAATCTAGGTATAAGCATGATGTTAAAATAATTACAATTCTAATAAATTAAACCATAATCATCTTTTTGATGGACCAACTTATATAAGGTAATGTTTATACTAATTTAGTACTTCTTTTCTGCAAGAAAAACATCTTCACATGCATGCCTACGGCCCTAAGCATGCATACACGTAGGCCACAAAAATCGATCAGTGTTTTTATAAAAAAGTGGATAAGCTAACTTAAACTGCAAATCAAGGAGGTGGGTGTGGCATTGCATCACAAAGTTGTTCTGCCACCACAAAAAGCTCTATTGCCGATAGATTTATCATACTCAATTAACTGCTTCAACTGCTTTTACAAACTGTTATTACAAAACTGGGAAAATATAACAGAGGAAATCAAGTGTTGCCTGATTGACTAGCTCATTGTACAAGGGATCAAACATGATGACATGGTGACATGACGGACGCCTTCTTGAATGTGAAATCTTGCCTGAGATCATGTCTTAGTTTCATGATTTTTGTCGTGAAGAAGGTAATTAAATTACTCGTTTAAGTTATCATTTAATATGAAGTAATTTATATATGAGCAATTTGTATGATCTATACATACATATGTTATATGTTGATATTAGTGTGCATGTGTTGCACGAGACTCTGTTAAAATAAGACATAAACCGATTGTTCAATGGCGTGAAAATAAACCTACAATATCGAGTTACAATACTATAGAGTAACATACATACCTACATACAAAATTGAGTTACAATTGTACGTAGACATTAAAGGACCATATATACATACCTGCCCTCAAAAAAAAAAAAAAAAAAAAAAAGTAACATACATGTCTACAATATTAAGTTATAATCCTAGAAAATAACATGATTTTTTGGTACATTATTTCAAATATTATATATGGAGTGAATGCTAATCATCATTTAGGATTCGGTGCTTAATGCTAAACTAAAGGTTATGGCTCCATAAAATTAAAGCAACAACTGCTTAGCACAGTACAACCACCCAAGCCAACTAATTAAATTCTTTGCATGCATGATCATCAAAAAAGATATATGCTTCATTCAAAAATTAGCCAATCATACCGCAAAATCCAAACTAGAATTTGCAAGTAATTAATTCCAACAACTCAATCTTAGGTGGGGAATTCGTTTGATTGGACAATAATTTATATTTTGGACGTATATTTCCTCCAACCACAAATTTACATGAGAATATATTCATGCATGTACGATGTATCACTTTTATAATAGTAATAATGTCTATTTTTTAAGGAAATTAAAGAAGATTTGCTAATATTCATGAAAAAAAGAAGATTTGCTAATATTCATGAAACTATATTCATGCATATTCTTTCAAGGTACATAGGTTACGACTTACGATCATTAACTCCATATCTTAGAAATCATGGTAGGATATCTTCTTCTTCTTTTTATATTAATCTTTTTGCATTATATAGTTTGTTACTTTTATGTATAATTTTGCAATAATTCTCAAATGTTATTATTGGTTATAGTTCAAATATAATGAATGATTTCCTTAACAATAGGAAGACAAAATTTGATTTGGTTTGACCAACTAAACTGATTGTTTGTATAATGATAGCATACATACTTTTGAGCTGCCATCCCTCCTGGCATAAATTAAATCATCTTTCTGTTATAGTGTGTATTACTTTATTTAAGCTAAATACTTTGTATTTCATTAATTTCATATGACTTGTGGATCAAGAGCCCGCTAAAAAAATATATACGTATATCAAATTGGAGGGGATTACTTTAATTTGCACAAGTATAATATATATATATATGTAAGGAATCATGTCAGATTGTACGGTTATTGAGTAACAATTTTTGTTTAATTGTATGAATTCTCCGAATTTGTTATATTTTGCTTAATTAAGAATGTCCGTAAAACTAACTACTATACATCACACTTACTACAAAGGGGGAATTGATATAATATCTCCAAAATCACAACATATTAATCATGTTAGACACATCTTGTGGCAAACATATATGGGTTCGGATTCTTACGTGCTACACATAATAACGTGTAACAAATTAAATAACAATCATTGAATTTATTGGGACAAGTAAATGGGGTAGAAAAGGTTGTGACTTTAGGTAAGCAATTGGATAAATTAGCAAACAAGAAATCTTATACAATCACTAGCTAAATCTTGAATTAGCTATATACTTATTTTTGTTGGACAGTCTTATTAAGGCAATGTTTAATATTATTGTACTAATTGTTAATTTCTGCATGGAAAAAAAAACATCATCACATGCAAGCATGGATATTTGATCGATCATAAGTTTACAACAAAAGAGACTAGACATCAGAAAGTTGCATTGCCAACACAAAAGTTTCAGTGCTGATGCTCCAAAAATATTAAAGGTTTACTCACTTTTACCCAACTAACATCCCTTAACTGCCTCAACCGCATTTGTTTTGTTTTTTTTTTTTTATTGAAATTAAATTTTATGCCAATAGGTATAGTAAAACCAAACAAAGCTTTTCTTGATTGATTATTTGTAAACAGAACAACCAAGGCATCTCTTAAAAAAAAAAGAAATATTTTTCCAATTTCTATCTTTATTTGAGTTGGACTAATCGATCGCCTAGTAACAATTAGAAAGCTAGTCCCTCCGTCTCATTGTTGATCGCCTAAATAATAATCTTTTTGTTGTACGTACTATTTCGTAGTTTCAAATGTATTACAATCCGTTTTAAAGTTGTGCAACAAAATTACAAAACTAAATAGGAAAATTGGGAGTAAATTTAATTTGGATTAGTTGTTAGCTTGTTAGATCCTTAATACATATATTAAATTTGTATTTGTTGATAATTTGAAGATCCAAGGATGATGTGAAATGTCTAAAAATATCAAGATTTACCAACCAACCTCATTCCTCCTCTTATAATAATACATATATATGAGCGCGCCCAGGTTTCTCAAATTGATAAACAACAAACGTCTATCAAATTGCATTCTCATAATTATTTTTCCTAGTTTTTGGCGAAAAGCAATTAAATAATACTTTAATGGTCCCAGTCTAGCTGGCAGTGAAGGACCCTTAGTAACGGATAGTTAACGCTTAGAACAACTTCATCAACTGATGAAGTTACTTTTTCAGAAGAAAGAGAAAAGAACTCCTCGAAGGTCATAGCAACAATGTCAACAAGCTTGTCAACTCAACCACCATTTCCACCACCATATATATTTTCGGCGGCTGCGCCGCCAATTAAACGAAAACCCTAAGAGAAAATGGTGAAATTAAGGGTATGGTTAACCCTAAAGGGTAAGGTTTATCTTCGTCCTCCATTAAAGATCGATGCTTGAGAGTATGTGCATGTTTCCTTCTCCGTTAAAGCTGAGGAAGATGAAAGCTAAGAACTTCATTCTTGGAATGAAAAATTAATACTTTATGTAAGTGAGCTTACCATTTTTAGATTATACTTACCATTACTAATTGTCCATCTCCAATGGTCGAGTGGTATGGTAGAACAATTGAGCTGTTATGGCATAGGAGGAGAGAGAAATTACAGGAGAGAGGATAAGAGAGAAATTAAAGTACTGCCCTTAACTTTTCAGATGAAAGTACTAGAAGGCCCCTTGATAAACGGGGCTTGTTTCTCAACATGATAAACTTGAATTTGCTCCATATATATAAAACGTCATGACATAAATGGTTTCCTCCACTACTTACTAGATAACATTTCTTGTTCTCTATTCAATTATAAGTTGCTCAAAATTTCTTTCATATATAGTATATTGTAACTAAGCTTGAATATCAAAGTAGTGAGACGGGATATGAATGCTCGAAAGAGTTTCAGTGATGAATCTGATGATTATTTTATGTACAACTATGAAGAGTTTGCTTCAAGATGTTATACTGTTTTTCAAAATCAAATATGAAAACCAACAATAATGTACCGCAAATATGATCAAGAATAGAAAATGCAACCTAATTAGGTTCTTATAATACGTGAACCAAACAATACCTATTTAAGTAGTAACACCAATATGAGGAGGGAACAAGGGAAAAGAGGGAATACTCGATATGTCATTGTATGTAGTTATTTATACCCGAATGTTAAGCAAACTTTTGGGTGTTATGATTTATGAAGCTAAATTAAGAAAACTTTGTTGCATATGAGTATCCTTAAATTTGAAAAAACTTTTTATCTTAACTATTTAAATCTTCCTGATATGAAAAAGCAGTTTTTGAACTCCCAAAAGTATGTTTTATGACTCAAAAGTTACTACGCATTGCAACGATATGATGCTGATTCAAGCATGAAATGGTGGCCATATATGTTTTACTAATTCAATTCTATGGTGGCAGAACTTGCCATGCATGAGTCACACTCACACCTCAATCTTGCAAGTTCACACATCAGCAAGAAAGTGAAATTTAACTGAACGTGTCTAACTAATTCACGTTTGGATATACGTCGACTTTTTAATCAAATTGGGATAGGAAATAAAACATGTTCTAAACTTTAACTTGTCGAGTGGTTCTTCTTCAGGTAAATAGTTTCAACAAATCTTTAAAAGTGTACGGTTATGAAATTAGATCAATATCAAAGAAAATGTCACAATAAATTTAATACTAGTAACGTCATCACATTAATGAGTGCACCTAGCTAGTGCTAGATTATTCCGGCCTCTAGTAATTAAATAGATCAAAAGTTGTACGAAGTATGTAAACAATCAAAGAACCTCTTTCAAAATAATGGATAATAATAATGTTGATCAATAATTCAATGTAGTTATTTAGATTAAAACAATATACAATATTGTTAATTATCTCGACGTACCTCTAACCCTTCTCTAACAGAATTTAATTAGTTGCTAATACAAAATTCTTTAATTTTAATAAGGTGGGTTTTGATAGATTTGTACTGATTGTTTGGCCTTTCAGATTCTTCAAAAGCTTCTTTGCTTACACAAGCATACATGGATGGTTTGTGCATCATCATCTATCACCTTACTCGTATATATTACTAATTATGGTTAGACTAGAATTATGTAACCAAAAGAAAGATTATAGGTAAAACTAAAATAAACAAATTAAGGCCAATTTTTCTAAAGTTGAGTTTGGATCTATTTGTTTCCTCTTTACAAAAAGGAACAAAACATCAGAACATGGTATCAACTACCAACTTCTTGAATAAGAAAAATAAATCATAAAATTTTGGATGCTTGTCTAAAAGTTTCAAGATTATTCTATATCCAACTTGCTCCATTCTTACTACTAGTATATATATATATACATATTCTCGTATTCATTCACCATCATAAGCATCTTAAGCCCTCATTCGATTTCAAACTCAAAAAGAGCTTACTGATAGCAAAAAAAAATTGTTTAACAAGGTCTAAATTTTTACAAGAAATGGAAGGAGCAGATGCATTCAGATCCTTAAAGTGTATGCTAGGTGATCATGTCCTTAGAATTGAGTCGTCGATAAATGATCAAAACAAACTTGTGAAGTTGTTACCAGCACCATCTAGCCGTATTGCAGATGGGTGTAACTCAAAAAATATGATTCAGAGTAAAAAAGAATCAGTTATCAGCACAATGAACAAGCTCGGTATGTTAGAATAATATGTGCAATTTTAATAACCAAACTCTTTATGATTTCTAGGACTAAATTTTTTTATATACTGATTTGTTTTAACAGCAAAAGGGAAGCTGAGTTTAGGAGCAAAGATTCTGCAAGTAGGTGGGGTTGAAAAAGTATTCAGACGAATATTTACTGTCAGTGAAGGAGAAAAGCTTCTGAAGGCTTCTCAGTGCCGTTTGTTTACCACAGCCGGAGCTCTTACAGGCCGCCTTTTTATCTCCACGGAAAATCTGGCTTTCTGCAGCGACAAAGCCGTTGCCAAGTATTCTTCTCCGTCAGGAGAAACTTGTAGATATCATTACAAGGTATATCAATTTTACTAACTAATTTAATCATATAGTACTGTCAATCAATCTATAAAATATTGCAGACTGTTCTGTTAATGTTTAAACTGATGAAGTGTATTATTGATCTAAATGCAGGTTGTAATCCCTCTAAGAAATATCAAGCAAGCCAACCAAAGTGAAAATGTAAAGAAGCCATCGAAAAAGTACCTACAAGTTGTGACCAATGATGAGTATGAGTTCTGGTTCGCGGGATTCCTGAATTACAAGAAAACTTTCAAAAGCCTACAACAAGCACTTTCCGCGACACTATGAGCCTTAATTCCATGGTTCATAATTGAGTGAAAGCTTGACATGGATTAATTAGTAGGAAAATCATTTATTTTTCTACAATGATCAATCAGGCCGGCTTTATGTAGATATATATGTAAACAAGAGTAGCTTTGTAAATGCTGTTTAGGATTACTGAAACATTTTATCTTCAGTAAATGAACCTGTCCATGCAGCAGTATTAAGTAGACAAAAATTGTATAACTCAATTTTCAGAAACAGGATGGTTTAAACTTTAAAGCTATCTCTTATTTGATGAATAATGTCACTGAAAAGCAAATTTATGACTCGCGATTTGATATGATTATCTTCAGGCCTTGCAAGACGTAATAGACAGCACATATCTGAGCCCCGAATTGATTTTCATATTGTACTACAACTCGATAGAAATCAAGAACATCTATATAGCAGAATACTGAATAATTTTTAAGATGAATATTTTCCTATAGATAACTCATGCCTAGTCAAAATCTGGTAGAATGAACAGATTAAATCTGGTAAAAGAAGGTAGGAAATACGAAGTGTGTTATTAGAACAATTTGAATTTCTACCTAGCATTTACGGCTGCTCCAAAAAAGTACAGCATATTGTCTACATAGTCACATAGATCAGAAGAGCTTACAACATGGTGTACCTTAAGGTTGCATAACAGCTATTGTCAATTTGTCAGGTTTGTTGCCTTAATATTTTGTTTTTTGGCTCCTTGGTTGCGTAACAACCACACTCAGGTTTGTTGCCTTAGGACGTCTACATGTATGGATCACGGTCACATAATAAAGATGGTTAGTGGTTACTTAGCTTGACCAAATAAATATGGACCAGTAGTTGATCATACAACTAAGGCATCACCAAGTGGTTGCGCAGGACAGAATAACAGTTTTAAGTACTTGCTGAAGTATTTGGATGTGCCAAGTGTTAATAGTCATACATAGGGTAACCTTTACCCCCAAACTCATACTCTTGCTTAGTGCTATCAATCATCAATAATAACTATATACTAAAAGACACACCAGCAATGACACGTGTCATGCTCTGGTGTGTTCTTAGTATTTTGAATTTTTTTTTTTTATAATTTAGAAAATTTTATTTAAAGAAGTTATTTAAAAGAATTTTTTTTTGTCAACCAAATAAAGAAATAATAATATTTACCTTTCTTATGTTATTACCCAATTAAGTACGGATTAATAAGGAAATAAATAATCTCTGTACAGAAGTGTGATTATGATGGAATATAATTTATTCTACAAATATATTAACTTTTTATTTTGTATGCCATAAAGGCATAAATTAATTTATATAAAGAAAATATGGAGGGATTAAAATAACCGTGCATGGCACGGGACCTAACCTAGTACTGTAATATATGCTTCTTCCTTGGTTAGTACATATAACTATTTCTATACAAAATTTAACTTTCATTTTGACTAAATAAGTAAAACATAAATGTTATTATATAAGATGTCATGACATTTGATTCAATACATATATTCAGTGTATCAACGTTTGATTATTCATTCCTTTGCGGTTTTTTTTAGAGATGTTGATGATCAAAGTTCGACATTAATTAATAAGCATGAAAGTCTAATCGTTACATGTATTTAGAAATAGAGTAAATAATCGATGTCTAATCTTGATGCTAATTTTATTTTATGTAATTATGAATCTTAATTGATAGTGAAAGAATCAATGGATGTCCAATTCCAGATATTTTATGAATTATATATGAACCTCTTCCTGATATTTTTCCTGTCAACAGACTTTCAGATGACCAGAAGCTGATTCAGCTAACTTTTTGTTGCATGTGAGTATCCTAAATGTTTGGGGAAGTTTTAATTTTTAACCTTTCCAAAGCAAATCTACCTGAATCCAAGCCTAAGGAATATCCTTCATTAGGAAATTAAAGGAAAAAGTAAACTATCCTTGCCCAAAGTATATGTTTTCTGACTCAAAAGTTGTTATAGAATATAGATTGCAATGTTGCTGATTCATATATGACATTGCTATTGTCCATGATTTTTTATAATCTTTCCCACGACGGTAATCCTTGTGTCAAACTCACACCTCAATCCTGCAAGCTTACAGTTCAGCAGAATCAACCAAAAAACAGAACGACAACATAAACGCGATCAAAAGAATCAGTGCAATGGAAGTAATGTGTGGAATCTGCTTATCAATGTATAAATCAACATCAGTTATTAGTAAACTATCAAATCTGTCAGCCAAGTCAGTTTTAAGTTGGCTAAACTGATCAGATTTGTACAGGTCAATTGTTAGGTCTTTTTTTAAAAAATCGGCTTTATAACAGGCTGCAGGCCTTATAAAAAATGTGTTCAGCACCATATATTTTTGTACGAGTTTTGTTTTGTACAAGAATAATGACCCTTAAGATATTAATTTGGCATTTTAAGTAAAAGAAACATAAAATTTTGTTCTTATAAAAACCTTCTGCCTAAAATACAGTCACAATTAGGAAATATAGTCACAAATCTTGATGTGTTTTGCAACGATCTTTTGATTGTTTATCAAGAAGATAAACTCGGAAACTAACCTTCACAGCGAGAAATTCCCTGCTTACCTATTTATGTATACAAACATGTTACATTAAATTATTTGAAGTCCACCAACACCACTTGCTAATTTTTATCAACTGTCTCCACCTGTTACTATAACTAAACAAAACAGATTTAAACCTAAAGAAAAAAAAGGGAGACAAATACTTTTCTAAAGTAGATTTTGCCTCTTTATAAAAAGCAATCAAACATAGTGGTATCAACTTCTTGAATAAGAATTCATACTTGCTGATCCTTGGATGACTCATTCTTTGTAAAAGTTTCAAGATTCTTTCACCAACTTGCATTGCTTCACTTCTTTGCTATATTATATATATCCATGGTTGTAACGCGCTTCATTCCCTCCACTAATCATCACATAAAACTTGCTACACCCATTCTCAAGTTTCAACCCATAGAGACTCATACAAAAAAACAAACAAGGTAAAAAAAAAAAAAAATGGATGTTGCTAATGCATTTCAGTCCGCAAAATGTACACTTGAGGATCATGTCCTCAGACATCAGCACAAGCCTATGAAACTATTGACTGCACCCTCTAGCCATAATGTAGATGGGTTAAACTCTAAAATTATGAAGAAGGGTAAAAAGGAATCAGTAATCAGTGCAATGAACAAGCTTGGTACGTCACTCTATATATGTATACTAGTGTATCATACATGTTATATCAGTTTATTTCTGTAAATTCTAAGAATAATTCTGTTTTTCTAGGGACTAATTAGTTTTTTCGTGTTTGTTCCACAGCAAAAGAGAAGCTGAGTTTGGGAGGAAAGATTCTAAGTATAGGCAGAGTGGGAAAAGAATTCAGACAAATGTTCAACCTGAATGAAGGTGAACAGCTTCTGAAGGCTTCTCAATGCTCATTGTTCACCACAGCAGGACAGCTTACAGGCCGCCTTTTCGTATCCACTGACAAGATAGCTTTTTGCAGCGACAAAGCCATTGCAAAGTATTCTTCTCCTTCAGGGGAAACTCTAAGATACCATTACAAGGTAAATCAATTTAAATGCCTTAAAACATACCATAAATACAGTATTACTGTCAGTAAAACTATTTATCAGTTGCTTTTTTTGTTACTTAGATTGTAATGTCATATTATTAACTAAAGTGCACTGATCTATACAATGCAGGTTGTGATCCCTTTAAGTAAGATCAAGAAAGCCAACCAAATTGAGGACATGAAAAAGGCATCGAAAAAGTACCTACAAGTAGTAACTGATGATGAATTCGAGTTCTGGTTCGTGGGATTCCTAAATTACAAAAAGACATTCAGAATCCTGCAGCAGACACTCTCTTGTGAGCCTTTGTTACACAAGATTAAGTGAATGTTTTACTTTAGAAAACCAGGAAAATGAAGTGTTTTCCCAACGCAATTAGGCCTTGTATAGAGATAGATACACATGACAATGCAAGTACATAGATAGCCAGCTCTGACCTGTAAATACATTGGTTGGGACTATACTCGACGATAGAGAGAAGGGATATGTAGGGAAAGTACAGGCTTTCAGCCAGATGAATGTGTACATGAAATACGCTCTTCTAATGGCTATATGTGTATTTTTAAGATGCTAGAGTGTAAACACAACATGGATTTTATTATCTACTTCCTTCTGTTGTATAAGTGTATAAATCAAAACGGCTTTTGGCATTTTTCAAAAATAACGAACAACTATATGTTCTTTGGATTTTAACTATATACAATAATTACTTATGTTATTTGGGTTTAATTATATGTTCTGATTATTATATGTTAATGATTTTGTGTTATTTTTACAAACTTAAAATTAAATATATGTTCATTAAAAGACAAATGTATGCCAATTGATATTGAAAACTTAATTTAAATTTTTATTGGAGAAAGCTAAATGTGAAATTTAACTCAATTCATTAAAAATGATTTTCATGCATCAGATGCATGTATAATTTCTTACATACAATACGTCTAAGTGAACATAGCTAATAAGAGCCAAGGCATAGTCATATTTTTTATCTATTATTATTATAGAGACAAACGTTGTATGATATATTTTATGGTCATTGTCATAGTCAAAATAATATCTATTTATTACTCATCAATTTATAATCAAATAAATTATATGTGCACTATACATTTGGGTGCTACCCAAATTTCTACAAATTCATCGTACATAATATTGTCAAGTCAAGGTGCATGTATATTTGAAGATAGTGACAAAATATAAGATTTCTTCGCTTCCAATTAAGCTGATTTATCAGTAACAAAAATCAATTGCACGTTTCGACAATTCCATGTGTAATCTTGTCAGCAACCAGTCATCTTGTATACTTATTGAATTGGATTATAACATTATTTAAACAATATCCGGATTAAAATAAAAAGAAAAAGAAAAAGAAAAGGTAGTCAAACATACTACAGTAGTCACAAGCTTGGAACTTGTCAAGTTAGCGCTAGATATTGATTTGAGTAGGTGGCTGGACTCATAATGCATGTGTGAGGGATTTTAGTCTAATATAATATAATTAAAGTTATGTAAAAATTTAACGGTAATTTTTTAGAGAAATTTTATGATAAATTTTTTCGTTTAATTTATAAAATTTCTCAAAAATCACATAGCACAATCTCAACAATCAAGTTTAATTTTGCGTTGTATTTGATTTGATCGGGTATCTTTTATTAATCGAGTATGTATATCCTTAATTAGTAAGCAAGCCAATGTCAATCTTCATTTTTAATACAAGAGTATATACCTTGCCTTCTTGTTTTATATATAAATTTTCAATTAGATAAGGTAAATTAGAATAGTAAAAACTTTTACAAACCTACCTTAGCCTCTTTCAATTTAGGTCTAAAATGTTAGAAAGATAGCATCAGAAAGTCACATTGTCGACTCAAAAGCTACAATGCTTACACATGGATGATACATCCTTAAACCCCACATCACTTTCTAATTCATTCTTAGACTTAACATTTTTGAAAATATATATATATATATATATATATATATATATATATATATATATATATATATATATATATCTTATTGTGACTTTATTTATTTAAAGATATTTTAATTTAAAAAAAAAAAACAGATCGTGATCACTTTTGGAAAGCAAATGAAATCTATACAATTATACATGCATGAAACCATCAACTTATTACCTAGCAATGCAAGAAATCTTGCATTGTATGGTGGATTGGTGGTGGCTTTTTTTTATTTTATTTTATATATGTGAAGTATATATCTATTTCCTTTTGCTGACCAATGAATGACCTTAAATTAATTTTATATTATAACATTTTGCTCCTATATAAACCTTCTTTTGACAAACATATTTTCCATCACCAACTACATACCATTAGCTTCAATTCATCTTTACTTTAAGAGAAAATTCTAGTCTTATCAAGAGTTAAACACACTAATTAAGTTAGCAAAAATGAATGTTTCAAAGGCATTTCAATCATCAAGGAGCATGAAGAGTATGCTCGGAGATCACTTGCTCCGAAATGGTTTGCCAAGAATAACTTATGATCGAACAAGAAAAACATCATCGATCAAATTATTGCCTGGACCTTCTTCCGGTGGCCAAGTGGATGGAGCCTTGATCACTTCCAAACAACGCAATAAAGGACAATCAGTCTTTACCACGATGAACAAACTTGGTACGCACAACCAATCTTCAATTTATATATGTGTAATAATACTTTATTTGGTAGTTTCCTATATAATTTATACTTATCATTAATTATGTACAATATTAATTGTCGGCGTTTATTTTACTTAATGCAGTGAAAGGAAAATTGAGCTTGGTAGGAGGGTTTGACAAAGTGTTTAGACGAGTATTTAGTGTACGAGAAGGAGAGCAATTGCTAAGGACTTCTCGTTGCAGCTTGTATACCACGGCCGGTCCCATAGTAGGCCGCCTATTCATCTCCTCGGAAAAACTTGCCTTCTGCAGCGACAAGCCAATCGCGAAAGTCTCCTCCCCTGCCGGAGAACCCCTTAGGTTCCACTACAAGGTAATACCACCCTTAATTAAATTAATGCCCTTGCTCAAGCCTAAATTATTTATACGTACGTTTGTACATGTTTGGTATCGAATGAATCAAATTTTAACGTGAATGAAACTGTGTTCGTGCAGGTTGTTATCCCGTTAAGGAAGATCAACAAAATCAATCAAAGCGAGAACTTGAAAAAGCCATCACAGAAGTATCTAGAAATAGTAACCGCGGATGAATTTGAGTTTTGGTTCATGGGATTCCGATCATACAACAAAACTTTGAAATTCTTACAACAAGCAGTCTCCCAAAGCTTAATCTGTTGACTTGTGAAGAAGAATTTGATTAATTAAGGAAGATTTATATCTAGTTGTAGTGTACATATATAACTCTGTAAATTCTAGTACTAGCTATAGTATATGCACTTGTTTGTCTAGAATTGATAGTAGCGGAACTTGTACATAGTGATTTGTTTGAGACTATCCAATTCAAATTTTATATTTTATATATAACTATTCAAATTCTAACACAAGTTGATTGCTAAGATTCAAATTTCAATTAGGTAAAATATATAATTACATTGATAACAAATACCTAGATCATATAAACAGATTTTGCGATCAACTAATGCAACGTCTTTGATACATGCAATACGTATAATCTCTTAATCTTATGTTAATAAAGTTGCGCAATTAGCTATCCAGTGGAACAAGAACATTAAAGTAAAATAAGGCCCGAGCTGAGCTAGCATCAACAAACCTTTGCTGCATACAATATACAATACAAGAAAGAACGGAACCATGCATCAAAGGCCACCCCTCGATCACCACAATGGTCATCATTGATAGAGTATACAACATATTTCTGGGCGTCAACCAAAAGCTTAAGCTTTTGGTTGAAATGGTCCTCTAACATGGTATCGGAGCCAGCGTGACACAAAGGTCACAGGTTCGAATCTCATCCGCCCTCCTTTAAAGTGGAATTAATTCGCACCAGGTATAGGTGGGCCTGTATTGCATCCACATTTCAAGCCCAAAGGGCCTTTCATGTGAGGGGGAGTGATAGAGTATAAAACATATTCCTGAACCTCAACCATCAGTTTAAGCTTTTGGTTGAGTTGGTCCTTTAACATGGTATCGGAGCCAGCGTGACATAAAGGTCACGGGTTCGAATCTCATCCACCCCTCCTTTAAAGTGGAATTAATTCGCGCTAGGTATGGGTGGGTAAACTTTTGGTTAAGATGGTTTAGCAATTAGGCGCTGGCAGTCATGCTTTACTCACGTTGGTCTAACATCATCGACAATCTCAAGTGTCAATTTAGAGCATTAGGTATACTTTCAAAAACCGCGTTGCATGAATATGAATCCATGTGGCCTGCCTGTTGTTACGTGACTAGGATCTGATCTTCGACTATTCCACTTTCCACCTCATCTTATATCAGCGGAGCAATAAAATATACAACTCGGTATAATAACATCATAGAAAAATAATAATGTACCAGTACTACGTATATTCTTTACGTCTATTGGAACACTTCATCTACTATATATCATTTGTTTTTATAATCGATCGAACCTAGTTACCAATAGTCAAACCTCCCTACAAATTAAAAAGGCCCATGTTATGAGTTGGTCACATAACTTTTATTATAATATCATTTTTCTCGACCATTATCTAAAATAACCATGCATTTCTATTAGCAAACAAAAACTTAGTTTATTAACTTTAATGGTCAAGTTGAATTGGTGTCAACGATCTTATCTATTATGGCAATGTACGTGCATGGTAGTTTCCATTCGTTGATAACGATTAACGCATTACATATTATAGCTTCCACGAAAGTATACATACCAGTTAGAGCTGTCAATTCGGGTAAATGGGTCGGGTAAGAGTTGAATGGGTCAACTTGGGTCGGGTCAATTTACATTAATTCCATGACCCATGTGGGTCGGGTTTGGGTTGGGTCATGCTTGAGTCGGGTCACGTGGGGTCATACTTCTTATCGGGTTTGGGTCGGTTTTAGGTCAGGTTAATAACAGGCCGGGTTACATTCAGGTCGGATGAACAATAGATCGGGTTTAATTCGGGTTAAAACGAGTTAGGGTTATTCTCGGATTTGAGTCGGGTTCGGTTCAAGTCAATAATTTGCGGGTTAGAATCAGGTCGGGTCATTCTCGGGTTTGAGTCGGGTTCGGTTCAAAACAATAATTTGCGGATTATAATCAGGTCAGGTCATTTTCAAGTCGGGTCATTCTCGGGTTCAAGTCGGGTTCGGTTCAAGTCAATAATTTGCGGGTTATAACCAGGTTGGGTCATTTCCAAGTCAGGTCATTCTCGAAGTCAAGTCGGATTATGTTCAAGTCAATAATTTGCAGGTTACAATCAGGTCGGGTCATTTCCAAGTCAGGTCATATTCGGGTTCAACTAATTATAAATAGATAATTATCATTTTTATCAAGATAATTATTTTCTTTGACTATAATATATATGCCAATATACTAGGGAACTATAGTTTATCATTTAGGAAGATAATTATATCATTTGACCATACAACAAATATATATTATATTTAACTCTTTGAGGATGATGCTCCTTTCTTTTGTTAGCCTAGACCAACTTGGTCTCCTAGACAAAATGTTTCGATCAACAATAATAAGGTGGTCTAAATTGCATTTAAGGTGATTTGA